TATATATATATATATATATATATATATATATATAGTTATCTATTTAGACGTAAGCATGGTTTATGATGTTATTGTTGAAAAATAACACATAATGAACGCATTCGAGAAACTTATAGCTTATATGAATTATAGATAGCAAGCACAAATACGTATTACATAAAGTGTACTGAATAATTTACTCAAGGTATACCTGTCAAGCCGTAAGCAAATATCTTAAAGTAAATTCGACTCCAATTCTGAAATCTTCCAAATATTCTATAGAAAATTGATTATTTTAATCCTATTTATAAAGAAGTTTTTTCTCCATTCAAAATTTGGAAGAAAAAGAACGTGTCTTCTTCCTTTTCAAATAGGATTGTGAGTTGCTTGAAAAAAAAGGGATTTTGAGTTCTAGTTAAATATGAATAAAATAGAGACCACAAAACTAATTATTCTCTTATGAAAATAATTCAAAAAAATAACTTAAATTAGTCTTATCATAATAAATTACAAATAATTATATTGGAAATTTGTAATTGCACTTTTTTATTTATATTTCAAAATTCCTTATTAATCATTTATGTAATTCCTCGTGTTAAGACTATAAATATTGATCAATAAATTAATTTTTTGACGAATTTAGCTCTATGATTAATTTTCTTTAGAGTAATGCTTAACTTATTTCATACACCGAATTCATAAATTCGATAGTCAAGTTTGAACATGAATACTTGTAAATTTCTCATAAAAAGTGTATTCATCAATCTCTATTTCGAGAAGTGAATTTCATGAATTAACTTATTATTTCACCAATATATATATATACTATCATCCGATCTACCATGCATATTGATTAATCTTAGTATCTCACCTTTTAATAAATCAAAACGACAATTAATATATACAACACATGATAATTATATAAAGATCTAGAATATAAGTACATTCAACAGTTTAGAAAATATATTTTTGTTAAATTATCTAAAATATCTATCTCTACTCGATCATGTTCAATATATACAAAATACATTAGCAAGAAAAGTTAGAACTATACATTATTCTTGTTGGAAAACTATATGCACAGCGGAAGCATACCATAATCATACAACTTACATGAATAATTAGACAACACATTGTTTATACTAGAACAAGTACAATCATGTTAGGGCATATAAACTTTCAGAATTACCTCTTGAAGCGTGAGCCGATACCTTCAAGTGAGTCCACAAGCTAGTCGACAAGCTAGAAACTTCAAGTAAATTCATAAGCTAGTCCACAAACTAGACCACAGTTCTACGGTCTTCTACAGTGATCCCAAGTTCACTTCCGAACCCTCTTAATACTTGGGTGGACAAGTATTTTATGGAAAAAATTATCTTTTTCAAGGGTTAGAAGAATCCCTATTTATAGAGATTTCTTCTTAGTCCAAGGAAAAGGAATACCATGTCTTTCCTTAGAATAGAAAGACATGTACGTCTCCCTTTCCTTAGAAAAGAAAAGTCATGTCCTTCTTCCTTTCCTTAGAATAGAAAAAGTGATATACTTCTCCCTTGCCTCAGAACATAGAAAGATATATACTTCTCCCTTTCCTTAGAATAGAGAAAGACACATACTTCTCCTCTTTCCCTTTACAATAAATTCTGAGTTCTAGATAAATATGGGCACGGTAGGGACCACAAAATTAATTACCGAGGCTTCCTATTATGAAAATAATTCCAAATAATTAATTTGAATTATTCTTACCATAATAAAGTACAAATCATTCCACTAGACATTCGTAATTGCACTCCTCTATTTATATTTCGAAATTCCCCATTAGACACATATGTAATTCCCCATGTTAAGATTACAGATACTAATCAATAAATTAAATTACTGACGAACTTAATTCAATGATCAATTTCCTTTAGAGCATTGCTTAACTTATTTCATGTGTCGGATTCTTAAATCCACTTGCAAGGTTTGACACGATGAAAACTTATAAGTTTCTCAAAAAGGCATATCACAATCTCTATATCGAGATATGGATTCCATTAACTAACTTATTATTTCACCAATATATATTATCATCATCCAATCTACCAGGACTATTGACCCATCTTAGAATCTCACCTTTTAATAAATCAAAACAATAATTAACCATCATCCAATCTACCAAGAATATTGACCCATCTTAGAATCTCACCTTTTAATAAATCAAAACAATAATTAACATATACAGATCATAATAGTTATATCAGGATTAAGAATATAAGTACATTTAATAGTTTAGAGAATTGCTTTTGTCAGTCAGTCTAAATCAACTATCTCTACTCGGTCCCGTTCAATACATACAAAATGCACTAGCACAAGAAGTTGGAACTATACCATTCCCATAATCAAGATAAACTACATATAATCTTGTGCTACAATCGTACCGATGGCATGTCCAATTTCCATCTTAGATTGTAGAATAAAAAAACTTTATACTTATAAGAACCGATGATTTAATCATCTGTGTATAAGCTTAAACTCTATAGACTAAATCATCTACTATATAAGTAAACAAGCACCATAAACGAATATATGATCTAATTAAAATAAATAAATAATTATTCTATAATAAATACTATATCTAAACACGTGGTTAATAGTATATATCCCAACAATTCTCATAACAATTAAGATAAATTACATTTAATCTTGTGCCACAGTCATTCTAATGATTTGTCCAAATTTTCATCTACAATTATGAACTATAATTTTTAACTCATAAGAACGGATAATTAATTAATCTTCTCTAGATAATTGATTGAACTATATACACTAAATTATCTAATATATACATTGAGTGTGCATATATGATAGATTGACTTATTCAATATAACACTTTATTGAATTGAATAAATAAATAATATTACATCAAAACACATAGTTAATAATGTGTTCATTCAACCAAAAAAAGATCTGTATACATTTTATTCGTTCCACATTTCATCCTATAAAATTATACTAAATATGTTTTCGTCGAGAACTCATACACTTGAGATATGTTCATAAAACCCCTCCTTGACAATCTTAAAGTTTTCAAGAACAAATTTTCCTTCTTTGTACTTTTGAGTTTCATCATATGCTTTTTCATATTTCCATCCCAAAACTTCCCCACAATCAAAGCATTTAACATCAGCCACAATATGCAAACCACTCATTAGTTGTCTTTCCTCCTTTTCCCCTATCACTACATTCATGGCATGTGTAAACAAATAAGCCCTCCCTGTTCTTGCCTGCCTTTTCACAACATATTGTGTGTTATAAACAGAAACGGATATAACACGTTTAACTGAACTCAATATTTTTTCACACAACATAAAAGTATTAGTTCAAACTTAATAGATGTGATTACAAATTTACTCAATAAGTATAAAATATAAAGGTAATGAATTGTGGTAGAATTCTAAAATCAAAGTCATAAAATTCATATCATGATGAACTATCTGAAACTCATAATTTCAAATCTACAATTGGTAGTAAAAGCCCGATCAATGGCATAACTATATTTTTTATTAAGATATATCAAAATAATAAAAAGTACACACACAAATAAATCAAGAGGATTCAACACATAATAAATATACATAAAAAAAATATTATTTTATGTATATATAATATAATTTTCTAGTGAAAGGATCGATTGATACCCCTCGAATATATATGGTGTAGCCACTAAATAGAAGCGAAGCCAAAATTTTAAATTTATTGAGGCTGAATAAATTATTTATTCATATTGAATATCTTTCTTAAATACAAAATTATAAGAATCTTAAAGATTGAATTCATCACATTAAAAAATTTTGTGCCCTTCTTCTTTTTATCATTTCAAGTTCTCCTGGAAAAGAAAGAAATGAAAAAAAAATTGAGATAAATTGAAAGAAAAATCATAACCTGAAAATTTTTGGAGACAATATCATCATGAAGAGCAATGTGATTTCTGCATTTACAACAACTATATATCCTTGGACCTACTAATCCTTCTTCCATATATGTTGAAAAAATTGAATGTTCTCACAAAACAAGAGGATCAATAAGTAATTAAAGCTTGATTAGTATTTAATGATCAATTAGTTTGTAGAAAGATTAATTTCTTGCTTGCTTGAAGCAAAAGCTTTATTCAAGTTGGCTAACATCAATAATTAGACTGAAAATAAGATGAAAGAGAAAGGAATTAATAAGAAAATGAAATACTTGATTAAAGATTAATTTACAAATTAACAAGTGGTAGTAGATTGCAAGTGCAATCAACCAACATTTTTAGATAAAATAATTAGGTGTTGATAAGGATGGGATTCACTATTTAATTGTTTTAGAGATAATCTTATGATCATTAATTAGTTATTATTATAACTTGTGAATTAATAATAACAACCTCCCCCACCCTTATGTTATGGTCAAAATGGATGAATATTTATTTTTATTTGATATTTATATCATGGCAATAGATATATTATATATGTTTATACGTAAATTCTTAATACTTAATCATGGTTAATTAATATGTATTTTAACCTTATTAAATGAGTTAATTATATTAACATCCAATGCAGGAAGTAAAACCTATATAAATTAATATAGGTGGGACCACGAAATTTTATTATTTTATAGAGATATTATTTAAACGATAAATTAATATTTATTAATTTAAAGAATGGTTTGAGATTTAATGAAGGTTAATTTTGATTATATCAAAATCATTGTATCTTACTAATTTATGTATCAGATTTATTGATTTCACATTAAAAAAAACACATAAAGTACAACGAATACATCAAAATCATTGTATCTACTAATTTATGTATCATATTTATTGAATATTGTCACTATCGTGCAAACAAAAGATCATGGATGACAAGTGTGTTTTTTGATGATCACTCAAATAGAAGAAACCAAGAAAACGTTGTTTTGTCTTATTACATTTCTGACATTCGCATTATTTATTTATTTTTAAAAACTCCCTTTTTTTCACTCTTTTTTCTACAAAATCTTTGATAAGTTAAAGTAATACTCTATCATAAATATGAATCATTAGTCGAACAATGTTGAACAAAGTGAATCGCAATTTTTTTTTTAACTTAAATTTTCAATCAAAGTTAGGTATATCAAGTTATCAACGTCTTGAATCAGATTCTATGGTTCTAACTCTTATTTTGCTTAAAGTTTGTCAACTTATTCCTTAGAGAATTATGTTAACAATTCATATAATGATTGCTTTAGTAAAAAGATATTTTTCAACATTGAATTGATAAAATCTTACCTAAAATTAATTAAATTTTTTTTAAAAAGTACTCAAATAAATCATCTATTAAAAAGTTGAAGTAATAATGTGCATCTAAACAATTAGAAAAAATAATTTTAAATAATATGTATGAATTTTTTAGGCCTCAAATAAAATTTCGCTTTAGGCCTCCAGTTACGTTGAGCCGCCCCTGATTGTCACTATCGTGTAAACAAAAGAGCATGGATGACAAGTGTGCTTTTTGATGAATATATTCGTTGGTTTGACCAGAAAATGCATGGTAGACGAATTTTGCTTAAGGTAGATAATTGTCCATCCCATAATAGAAATATTGAGGGACTGCAAAATGTTGAATTATTTTTCTTGCCACCCAACATGACATCCAAAATTCAACCTTGTGATACTGGGATAATAAGAGCTTTAAAGATGTATTATCGTAGGATATTAGAAGACTATGAAGTGGGACAAACTGATCCAACAAAGATTAATGTTTTGGATGCTATCAACTTTGCAATCCCTGCTAAGAGGTATGCCAACTCGTTTTATACAGATACTGCCAGGAGTGGAATGCAATTTCAAAGAATTTGAATGAACCCACTTGTGAAAACGTCATTCATGAATGTGAAGTCATGATTAATGATCTCGGTTAGCACAATAAAATGGATGTCAATAACCTGTTGGATTATCTAGGTGAAAGTGATACATGTTTAGAGGTCCCGAGCTTAGAAGAAATTGTGGATACCATCAGAAAAAACAATGTTGATGATGAAGTTGAAGATGATACAATACCTTTGGAACCAGTTATGCGTAAGGAAACACTTATCATATCTAGAACTCTTCACAATTTTATGGTCTAGTTCGAAAAGACAATACCAATGCTCTTGGATGCAATAAGAAAAAATAGAGATGAGCTTCAACTAGATTTAAATTTTAAGAAAAACCAGAACACAATAGACTCATATTTCACTTAATCGTCTTAGATATATTTGTACTTTTGAAGAATTATTAATTTATGATATTAATGGGACCATATATTTATATAGGGGTCTTTTGGAAATATATTATCTTATCGAAATTGGCGATTTTTTCCATTGGCCCAAGTTGGGACCGGAGGAAAATATTACTTTAGTGAGATTATTAATTTATAGAGGTTTTACTGTATGTACCATCCAATAATACGTTTGGAATTTTGTAGCATATATGTGTTCATACACTTATTCAACCACAATAATATATTTAGTATAATCTCGTAAAGGTTTGAAAGGATAAAATATATGTAAACATTATTTTTACCTTAGATGATAGAAAGGTTGTTTTTTGAAGCACAAATATACTTATTATCAGCGTAAACACATTTTGACAGATATATTATATACGAGCAGATACACTTATTAAGCATGCAACACAGTGTATTTCACCATTATTATATGCTTAAATACAATATATTCCGCTACAGGGATGATGTATATGCATGAATGCACTTATTATATATGCACATATATAATTTGTTTCACTATTATTATGTGCATAAATATAATGTATTCTACTACTGAGATGTTGAATATGCTCGGATATACTTATTATGCGCACGTATGTAATGTACTGCTATAGAGACATAGAATACGCTTTACTACACTACGTGCGCAAATATAATGTATTTCACTATTATTATATGCGTAAATATAATATATTTCATTATTATTATGTACATAAATATATTCCATTAAATTTTGAATCTAAGATACTGCTATGTGTTATAATTAAACAAAATCTTGCAACTTTACATAACCAGTGTAATAACACTATTTATGAAATTTCTCTTAATTCAAATAAAAATTACATTATAGATAAAATATCAACAAATAAAAATTTACATGTATTATGGATGATAAATTCTCTTGCTTTTTCATATGTTTATTCTTTATTTTTTGAACCACTATAATAAAAATTAAATTTGATAATTGCATAAAATGAAAGTAAGACAGTATCCTTGTGAACTTTTAAATCATAAAAAAGTTATACTTAATAGATTTCTTGTCATAACAAATTATATTTTCAATCTCCACGTCTGATAAGACAAAAAAAAAAGGAATGCGGTGAACGTGGATCGAACACGTGACCTTCAGATCTTCAGTCTGACGCTCTCCCAACTGAGCTATCCCCGCGATTGTGAAATAGTCAGCACTAACTTTATAATTCTCAGATATCTAAATCTCAATAATGATTATTAATATTTTGTCTCTGAATATGAAAATTAAATAATCACTACTGTAATATATTTGGGATTACTTTTTAAAAAAAAGTTTTTATGTTATTTTGTATTGTATAATTTTTTTTTTTCTCTATAGAATCTTTTCTCACTAGAGGTTATGATAAAAATTCTAAAATTAATTATATTGCTACATATGCTAGGTTACGGATAAATGAAAGTTACAAGAATTCAAAAATAGAAAATATGAACTTAATTATTGGAGCACCATTAAAAAATAAAGAACTATAATAGCAATTAATATAACTCAATTCCAAATAAGTTGAATTCTACTACATAAATTTTCATTTACCATGCATGTTTATCTATTTAAATTCATATCAAGTAGATGTTATACAAAACAAAATGAAAATGAAGTACCAAAAATTATCTATATTTATCACTTGCATAAAAGAAAAATCCTTATAAGGCTAAAAGACTCTTAGAAATGGTTGTCCCAAGGTAAATACATTAACATGACATGAGTAAAAGTACATATTTTCAACTACTTATTGTACCACTAATTTTTTTTCCATTTATCACATCTTTTGTTAAGTCTGTATGAATTTCAAGAAATTGTCAATATTTTTGAGATGATTCTATTCTATGTAATTTTCAGTCTATCTTATCTTTTTTAACACATCATTTATCATTGTTTCACGATTAATATATCTAAAGATCGACGTAAGACGATAAGAGCATGGCAATATCACTTCAAACAACTCTCATTTTCAATATGAGTGTTCTATTCGTACCTTTTCGTGAATATGATCATTAAAAATCTTTTATTTCATTTATATTTTAAAAGAAAATACTTGTATAAACTTTCAATGCAAATGTAATATACATTGAATTTGTCAAGGCCAGAAGCTACCTGCTTCCATTTTCCTGAGGTCATGAGTGACTTGACTATATATCTAATTCCCATTAGAAAATCTCAGAAGTTTAATAAAATTAGTTTTTTTATTTCATATAATCTAAACTAATTTGGTTGACTTGCACCATAACAATATTGAGGTGGCAAATAATAATAATAGGGCAATTTTTGACAAATTAAAATAGATTAAATCAATAAATGAATGATGATAAAAAATAAATAGATAAATAGATATGACAAATAATGGTATTGGATCAAATTTTGACCGGTTAAACATGTCAAATCAAAAAATAAATCATGACTTAGATTCTCTAAAAAAAGTTAAAATATAGTCTGAATAAAAATAACGAATCATAACCAAGTTCCAAACTTAAAACAACACCCATCCTTTTAAGTTTGAGATATTTACACATTGTGCTCAAGCAGACAAAACAAATTATGTCAAATATCTGTTTTGAAAAATATTACACTCCATATTTATTTAGAGAAAAAATCTAGCAAGTATAATTTGTATACCTACAAAATATACCATTAACGTTTTGTATAATTGAACGATATACAATACAAAAACTATCGTATATCTCGAAGGTGTACGACAATAATATTCCCATTATTTCTAAATAAGCCATATTTATACCTTTTCAATTTGTTTTAAATAAGTGGTGTTTTATATAATTAAAAAGATATTAATGACGTTCTTTCAATTTTACCATTATTTAAAATGAATTTTACCTAAATAAGAAAC